CAGAAGACCTGTCCTCCTGCACATCTGCACTGGATTTAGGACAGCAACTGCCCTGTAGGATGTCTGTGAAGGGGGCCACAGAGGCAGTTCAGCAGTTGCAGGCACACACTGCTTCTTCAGAGGACACAGGTGAGGACCCAGGTTTGGTTCTGAGCACTCACGTTGGGTGGCTCACAACTGCATGTTACTGTAGCTCCAGGAGACCTGGCACCCTCTTCTGATCACACCAGGAACACAAATAAAAGTGAGTCTTTTAATAAAAGATGAACATAGAAACTTTTCATTCACGCCGAGTTCAGATGAAAAATTTCACTCTTGTTCCTTGTCCTCTGTGTGCTTCCCAGGGCAATCAGAGCAGCCAACATTTGGGACAAAAAAGTTCATCCCGATTATGCAACACTGGCATGGTTTCTGTCTCACCCAAGCTATGATCCACTCTAGGAGGTAACACTCAGTTAATTTCTTCCCTTTACCTAATGTTTATCCTGTAGTCAGTTTCATCAGAGCCACGTGATAGCTAATCTGGGCTCAATTTGCTCGGGCTTTGATGTCCACTTATTTAGGTAATGACCTAGATCTTGATATGAAGGTGGGTGAATTGTCAGCTTGATGAGAGAGAGCTAGCATTATCTGGGAGACAGTCCTCTAGGCATGCCTGGTGGTTATTTTGAGAAGATTAATTAAACCAGGACAATCTGTCCACAGTGGGTGACACCATTCCCTGGGATGGGGCCCTGGACTGTATAAAAATCCTCTTCTGGATTTTGCAGCCATCTGCACTCATATGAAGAAACAAATGTACACATAATTTAAAATAAAATAAATCTTAAAATTAAGGAGAAACAAATTGAGCACAGAACTCATTGTATCCTAAACTAAAGTTGCCGGGCTAACATATAAAAATGCTGGAAATGTTTGGCTTTGGCATAGCTCCTCCTCTTCCCTGCCTTGTCCTGAGATGGTTTTGCTTTGCAAGGTCATTTGGAAGTTTTTTTTTTTTTTTTTTTTTTTTTTTTTTTAAATCTTGGCCAGTTCCCACTGGAATGAAATGGACTTGTGCAAGATCATGGGAAAAGTCTTTTCAAAGGTTTCTTTAAAGTCTTGGCAGCAATAAAGTCTGTCATGAAGGCTAGGAGACCTGAAGGCTCAAGCCAAGCTGAGGGCCATGGCAGAAACAACAGAGGCCTAGTTGCAACCATGCACAAAGGCCCAGAGTAGATGAAACCCCTCACTGGGTCTACTTCACAATGTAAAGACAACAGATCTGGTAAAGGGCTGGCATTAGAAGCAGCTGTGAGCTTCCTGGTGTGGTCCTGGCAACTGAGCTCTCTTGGTGAGAGCAGTATGTGATCCTTTTAAAAATGATTTATTCATTTTATGTGGATGAGTGTTTTGCCAGTAAGTATATGTTCACCTGTAAGTATATGTGTGCAGTGCCTCAGGAGGTCAAAGAGATTGCAGGTCCCCCTGAACTAGAGTCACAGATGGTTATGAGCCACCATTTGGGTGCTGAGACCAAACCAGAGTCCTCTGCTAGAGCTAGAAGACTTTTAACTGCAGAGCCATCAAATCAGCACCTTTCCCGGGTGTTTGCTTTATTTTATGAGACAAGGTCTGACTATGTAGCCTTGGCTAGCCTGGAACTTACTATGCAGACCAAGCTAGCCATGAACTCATAGAGATCCACCTGCCTCTGCCTCCCAAGTGCTGGGATTAAAGACATGCATCACTAGCCCCAGATTTTTCTCAGACTTTTGAGAATTTTTAGGTCATTTACTTCTAATTTTTCTTGTTACAATAAAAAATGTATTTTCTCTTAAAATTATTTTACTTGCATTCATGACAACAGTGTGTGTGTGTGTGTGTGTGTGTGTGTGTGTGTGTGTGTGTGTGTGCATGTATATGTGCATGTATGTGCTAGCCCACACACCGTGCATGGTTTGGTGCATGTGCAGAGGTCAGAGTCAGTAAACCTTACTCCTCCATGGTTTCTGCATCAGCTTCTGCCTCCAGGTTCCTGCCCTGTGTGAGTTCCTGTCCTGACTTCCTTGGATGATGAACAGTGATGGGGAAGTGTGAGCCAGATGGCCCCTTCCTCCACAGGTTGCTTTGGTCATGGTGCTTCATTACAGCCATAGTCACCCTAACTAGGACAAGTATGAAATGTACTTTGATCACATTGCTCCTTCCATTGCCTCCTTTCTATAGACATGGCTTCACTTCTTATCCACAGCCTGTGCTTTCCTGGACATGTGACTTATTTTTCCCTTTGAAGACAGGATCTCATAGTCTATTCCTGATCAGCCTTGAACTTACAGAGATCTGCCTGCTCTGCCCCTCTGGTGCTGGGATTGGTCACAAGTAACATTTTCAATATGTAACATTTTTACAAGACAGTTCCCAATGGGTTATTTCATTTGTGGTTTTGTCTTAAATATCTGTTACCAGTATTTGTTAGTTTCCAAAGCATGAGGATGTGATGCATCATTTTGTTGCCATGTTCTAAGTGTCTTTCACTTAGTGTGTTACAGAGCACAGTTTTCAGGCATCTATCTGGCTCTCTGAAATTGACTAGGGACATGTAAACCACTCAGTCCCTGTCCCACGTGGCTTTAAAAGTTGAATATAGCTTTTTGTATTTGGGGTGGAGATTTAAAGACAGAATTTTATTAGTCTTCTTTCTTCTCTTCCACTGCCTTGTGACTCAGCATCAACTGTTGCCTGTTGATAGCTTGTGACAAATATGTGTCCTGTCAAATTAGCCCTTTGAGAACCCAAAAAGTCCCAACTGGTAATGTTTTTGACTTCCACAGTATGGGCATTTCCACTGCAGCTAACATCAAGTTGCCAGTGGTTAACAACTGCCTTTCAAAATTATTCAGTATTTTACATGGATCTGCCAACCAGTGAAAAGCCAGTTCAACACTATTTATTTATTTATTTTGCAGGATGCATGTGTGCCCTGAGGTCAGAGGACAACTTCAAGCAGTTGGCATTTTCCTTTGACCATGTGGGTCCAGGGGACAGAACTTGGGTAGTCAGGTTTGGCAGCAAGCACCTTTACCCACTGAATCATCTGGCTGGTCATATTATTTCTTGACATTTATGTTGTGTATTTGTTGTTTGCTTGACTGTTTTTTGAGGCAGGGTTTTTCTACATAACAGCCCTAGTTATCCTGGAACTCATTTAGTAGACCAGTGTAGGGGGATATTCATTTTGTCTCCTTTGGTGGCATTGACCACACCCATTGGGGGGTGGAGCCAGGGACGGAAGTGACCTGGGGAACTAGGTCAGAGGAGGTGCTGGAGAGTGCTCTCTTGCCTGCTGCACAGGGATAGGATAACATCCAGAGGAATTCTTGGAAGCAGGAACCTGTTGGTGTTCACCTGTCTTATGTTGTGAGTTATTTCTCCCTAAATAAACATCTGTTCGGCCTGATTGTTTATCCTGATCCTTATTAAACCGCGATAGACCAGGCTGTCCTTGAACTCACAGAGATCCACCTGCCTCTGCCTCCCGAGTGATGGAGGGCGTGAACCACCACTGCCCAGCTATCTATTTGATTCCACCTTGGCTTTCTTTGTGTTTCTTACCCTTATTATCGTTTTGTCTCGGTTGCTTTTTAAACTGTCTGCTTCTGGTAGATGTTTCAAACTCTTGGAATGAAGGATGTAATGATAGCTATTGGATCGCTAGCAACAAAAGAAAGCCTTCCAGTTTGAACACATTTATATTTGTTTGTTTCTAGGGGTCTGTGTGGTGCTGGTTCAGGCATGTCACAGGCTTGAGGGCTCAAGGCTAACTGAGCTTGGGGAGTCCCCATACTGTCCTGCTTGCAGTCCTTTCTCAGTTCCTCTCTCTAGGGAGACCTCCCTCCTGGCTGCCACGGAGCAACAACCATGCAGTGTGGCTGAGTTCAGGGAAGGCTGGGAGTTCTGACTCTGCTCACTGTCCACTTTCAGTTCTTGCTTTCTGAATCCTGCCCAGAGTTCTCAGTGGCCATCATGGGAGAGAGGCTCTTAAGCTTTCATTTCAATTTCAACAAAGCAACTCCAGGCATTGTGATTTTAGATACCCAACCACAAGTACTCCCTTCCAGCAGCACAGGACCATTCAGAGTACCTTGATTCTGTGTGCTCAGCCTTCAGTCTTACTCATGATTCAGTTTAATATGCTTGTTCACTTAGTTGTTTATTAGAAAAACAGCACTGAGTACTGGAGATGCAAACCACCTCATGGTCATGGGGATTTCATTTGACTGCAGCAGAATGAAGCGGGTGGTTGGCATGGCCTCAGGACATGCAAAGGTGGGAACTGGCAGCTGTGTTTAATATGTGTTTCTAGGAGACCCATGACAGCTGCCTGTCAAAGGACAATGATTCTGTACCCTCATCTGTGAGACCAACAGTGAAATCTTATTTACCTTCCTTTTGTGAGCTTTACCTCTGAGCTGCACCCAGAGGTCATGCAGAAACTTTTATGGTTTGCATTATTTGAAAAAAAATATTTATCTTGTATGCATGTGGAGGCCAGAGGTCAAGAGCAGGTGACTTCCTCAGTCCCTGTCCACCTTACCTTTTGAGACAGGGTCTCACTGAACCTGGAACTTATTGATTTGGTTGGCCATTGAGTTCCATGGGTCTGTGTCTGCCCCCCCAGAAGTGAGGTCCCAGGCAGGTGCCACCATGCCTGGCTTCTGTGTGTGTATGTGTGTGTGGGGGATCTTGTCTCAGGCTTTTGGGCACATCCAGTCCTTTACTGACTGAGCCATCTCCTTGGCACTTGGTCTACAGTATTTAAAAAACCATGCAGGGGCTGGAGAGATGGCTCAGTGGCTAAGTACTTGGCTATTCTTGCAGAGGACCCAGGTTCAGTTCCCAGTATCCACATGGCAGCTCATAATTAAACTCCAGTTCCAGGGTTTCCAATGCCCTTCTGACCTCTGCAGGGATCTACACATATTCATGAAGAAAAAAAATTAACACACATACACATACAATAAGAGTAAATAAATCTTATTTATTTATTTTTTTTTTTTTGTACACAGTAACCTCTCATATATGAGGCTTTTTCTTCTGGTGTCTGAGGCCTCCTTTCTCTGGGGAAGATGTTTTAGTTTAGAGATAAAGAATGAAAGAATGATAAGGTATGAAATTTAATGGAAGCATCACAGCTCCTGTATTGACTCCCAACTCTTCACTGCATAGAAGTTCATTGAGTTCTGAAGGCTTTGGATCTGGTTACTTTTGGTGTTGGATGTTTTCATTTCTTTGAAATTTACTTATTTATTTATGTTTTATTTATTTTTATTTGCAAGTGTTTTTTAATAATAAAGTTTATTTTTAAGAAAGGAATGAGAAGGGCGCACTGATGTCTGGGTTGGGAAGGAAGCTCTTCTCCCCACAGTTCCTTCTGACGCCCATTTCGACACCAGTGCTGGTTCTATGACAGGGGAGCCTGGGGACAAGTCACTCATCATAGAACTTTGGCAGCTCATCTCCCAGGATTACTCGATGGTCCACACCAGTGGCTGTGATGGTGACCAGGTAGATGACTCCCCCACTAGAGCCGTCACGGTTCATGGCCAGAGTGATGGCTGCAGAGGGTTTGCATTGGAGAGAGGAGCAGAAAATGGCTTAGCTTTAACATCTTTTCCCTTTGCTTTCCAATCATATGCCACCTCTCCCTCAAAACTCATCCTACAGAGGCATCTTCAGAAATGTTCAGTAAACAGCATCACCCGAGTCCCTACTGTAAATGTCCCCACCATGCTCTGCTTTAGGCTACCTACAGATTAACACATTGTCCAAATCTTTGAATGTTGAGCAATCAAGTTCACGTGAGGTGGCTTGGAGCACGGGGCAGTGCTAGCCCAGCATATCGCTGGTTCCCGCAGTGATATTATACCCTTACTTGATTTACCCGGATTCATCCCTACTGCCCCAGAACTCCATCTCTTTTAGCATTGTCTTACTCCCTTTCTCTCCAAAACATTTCCCAGTTTTTCAGGGTGAGGTTGGGGAGATGGCTCAGTGGCTAAGAGCAACTATTGTTCTTACAGAAGACCCGAGTTTGGTTCCCAGCACTCACATCAGGTGGCTCACAACCACTTACAACTCCAGTTCCAGGGGACCAACTTCTGGCCTCCATAGACACATGCACAAACCCACACACAGACATACTCACATACACACTTATGTACATATACAAAATTAAGTAAATACTGTTTAAAACCTTGGACATGAGATGGCCACCCATGTATGCTTTTTATGATTCTTCACAATCTACTTTCTTTCTGTACCCATAAACCCTCCCTGGCCACCACTCCCTTGGTCAGTTACCGTTCGTGGTGAAGCGCCTGCACTCCTCAGGGGTCATGCCTGCTTTATAGGTAGAGTCCACATAACCGTAAATGTAGGTACTGCCAGAACCACCGATGGAAAAGGGCTGTCGGATCAGCATTCCTCCCATGGTTCCATACACCTAGAAAGAGGTTCCTGCAGGTCAGAGTCCAGGACCACCTCACAATTTCCTCCATGGAGACGAGCAAACATGAAGACCTGGGACCCCAACAATCCAGCCCTCAGCACGAATCTATTTATTAATTAATTTATTTATATGTTGAAACAGGGTCTCAGTGTGTAGCCCTGGCTGTCCTGGAATGCTATCTACGTCAGGTTCTTCAAACTCACAGGGGTCCAAGTGCCCCTGCCTCCCAAGTGCCAGGACTGAATGCGTGTGTCACCACGCCTGGCCTGTAGTGTGCTTTTTAGAGGAACTGTCTTTAGACCATATTGCCAGAATGACATACGACTTCCATGTCTCTGAAGAGAGAAGTGGGGAACTCTGAGACCAGGAAGGGACGCACTCACCTGGCCCCCCTCACGTTGGTCCCAACCAGCCACCATGAGATGCGCTGACAAGTCTTCTCGGTACTTGTAGGTGATATTCCTTACCACGTTTGCAGCAGCTAGAACAAGGGGCAGCTCCTCCAGTTCCAACCTGAAGAGGATGTTGGGAGTAAGGATCAGCACCATGTTCTAAGGGTCAGCACCATGTTCTAAGGCCCACCCTTACACCATCACCCTCTCTGCCAATCACACTTGCACCAAGGGAGCCGGGGTCCCACACCACCAGTGATAGAGGCCTTCAGCTGTTCACCCTCTCTTTCTCCGCCCCACCTTCCCGCTCCTATTGATAAATCCCTCCTTTGACTCTAAGGGCCCTGCCCTTCAGGGTAAAAGCAGATAAGCCTTGCTTCCGTCCCAATGACCTTGGTTTCTCATATGGCAACTGCCTGATATTAGGAGTGGGCCAAATCACCATCTTCTTCCTGATTTCCTGTATCAGGGCAAGGATGTGAGCTTTCTAAGCCTCCATAGGGGAGGCAGAGTCATTGCTCTGACTATCTCTTCTCAGAAGCAGGGCACCGGCCTCCAGATATCCCAGTGCAAGTTCAAAGCTGGCAAAGTCACACAGCTGAGGAGTTTTACTGGGAGGGCAGTCAGGCCCTGGGGCTATGTACCCATGCAGCTCCAGCTGGTAGGCGGCCATGTCAGCTATGGCTTGGGCATCAGCAGCTGAACCGGAGAGGGCACAGTAGATGCGCTGGTGTAGAGGAGAAAGTTTGTCAAACACTCGGTTCACCACAGCTTCTCTGTTGGGAAGGAGCCAAACATTCAAGTTGGTCTGACAAGAGAATAGTGAGGCTTGCAATGCTTGGGTTAAAGTAGAAAACGCAGAAAGACATTATCTCATCTAAGTAACTCACCGTGCTAACTGGGCTGGGGATGTGGCCCAGGGGGCATAGTTCCTACCTGGAAGGCACAAAGCCCAGCACAGCATACAGGAGCAGGCTGGAGGATTAGGAGTTCAAGGCCAGTTTAGCTACATCAAGTTTGAGGCCAACCTGGGCTACAGAAGACTCTGTTTTAGGCATTACACTCTCCAAATTTAGACTTTTAAAGACTAATATTTTATATCAAAACAAGAAAAAGAGCACCTAGTTAAGAAAAATGTGCCTCAAAAAAAAAAAAAAAAAAAAAAAAAAAAATGTGCCTCTGAGCCAGGTGGTGGAGGTTCACACCTTTAATTCCAGCATTTGAAAGGCCAGGAGGATCTCTGAGTTTGAGGCCAGCCTGTTCTACAGAGTGAGTTCCAGGACAGCCAGAGCTACATAGAGAAATCCTGTACAAAATAAAGAGAAAAATATGCTTCTTACTGACTTTCCTTTGCTGTTAATCACCTTGAGGGCTATGGTAGTTTACAGAACATGGCATAAGCAGCAGTAAGTTCATCCTACAGGCTCACTGTGTGGGAGGAAAATGGCCAGGAGGGGAGACCAAGCAAATGCAACTGTGGCAAATAATTGAGATACCTGCTTGACAAAACCATTTTTATCCTAAGTGCAGACAGCATAGTCCCTCTAAAACCTACCCATGTCCTTTGGAGACACGATTTCTTTACCACCAAGCTACAAAACATTCAGACTTACAGATCCTTACCTATGAACTCAGAGGTCCAAGCACTGCACTATGATAGCTTTCTGAAAAGCACACAGTTCCATTTCCCTGACAGTTACCATACTGTTCAGAAGTGGAAAATGTGCACTTGGGGCCACCAGCTTCCTTCTCAATACATATCTCTTTAATGATACTCACCCTGCGGACACCCTGGAATCAGAACCCACCACGACACCCCCATCAAACTCCACCGCCATGATGGTTGTCTGCAGAGACACAGAGCAAGAAATGTCAGAGCAAGAAGTGCCCTGGCCCTTCATCCTAAGGAAGATGAAATGGTGCCAGGTGACTGACTAAAGGTCACACAGTCCTTCAGGCCAGAGTTTCCCCCTGTTTTTGTGCTGTTCTATCTGGCCGCATGGGGACGGCACAGTTTGGCTGTGGTGGAGCATAGGGAAACAACTCCCAAAGCCCCAGCTTCCCTGGGAGAAGAGAAGCAAGGATGGGTTCTGAGAGGTAGAAGTAATCTATCTGAGAGGAAGAGCAGGTCAGGAGAAGGAGGCCTAGAGATGGGACTGTCCACACTGCTTAGGTGAATTACTGTGACACAAGGCAAGGTCCTTCTTGGTCCAAAGCTCCTACTTGCACCCTTAATCAGGGGCGAGTTCTCAGGGCCACTGAACAAGGAACACAGAAGAGGTCAGTGGCTAACATGGCCAGGAGCCCAGGCAGGACAGCAGAAGTCTCATCTAAGGGGCTTCTCTGCAGGAGGGAAGGGGCTGCTGGAGAGCAGCAGGTCAAGAAGAGAATTACTGGATGGTGACAAGGATGAAGACATATCTACTTCCTCCCCCACACCCTTGAGCTAAAAGGAACCTTAGAGACCCGAGAAAATGGACAGACAAGATTGAGTTTTCCAAGCTCACACAGGTCTCACTTTGAACCCTTGATTGATTAGAGTTCTACTTTCCACTGCTCCATGGCAGCCAGGGGAGATTTCCCCAACCTTTCAGGCCACTCCAAACCTCACCCTGATCTCCGGGGACCCTGCCCCCGAGTCTGCTTTCTGATGTACTGATCACAAACCAAAGGCCAGAAATGGCCACTCCATTCTAGTGGCTGCTCTCCCAAACCATGCTAGGAGTGTGGTTGGTGGCTTCCAGAGAGCAGAAACCAGCTCCCATCTCCTCCCCAGCTCCTAGGTGGGGCAAAGTTCTCCTGCAAGCATGGGAATGGGAAGGGGGAGCAGGGCAGGGCAGCACCTGAGCCAGTGGGTCATCCCCTGCGCCCACTCCCAACCCCAGAGAGCATGTCCTCTCTCAGGGTGGAGGCTGTCCCGGGCCAGATTAAGCAAAGAGCTGTTTGATGTGTAGGTCCTTCTCAACTAGCTTTCATATAACCTTCACCCAGGACACTTTCTTAGCACCTCTTCGCAGGGGCCCCAAGCCCCTCACTTTATTTTACCAGTAGCCCCCACTGTGCAGACCAGAGTGAAAGCGAAAGCGCTTTGTAGCAACTTCCCTTAGAAGCTTCCAGCTCCAGCCAAAGTACGCACCTTCCCACCAGCTTCGCATGCGGGTCCCTCCACAGACCTCCGGGCATCACACGGGATACCCTACAGGGATACCCTACGTCCACTGTGGAGCGAACCGCTGGGTGTCATAGGCTTCCTAAGCCTCAGTCTCCTGGTTCACTTCCCAGGGCTTGAGGGTTCTGTGGTCACCCCACCCGCTGACTTTCACCCCCAGACCCATTACCCCTGTGTGGACTTCTCCTGTCCGGAACAACCCGGTGGTAGGTGCTGCTGTCCGCAACATCCTAACAGAGCAGAGCTTAACAGAGCAGAGCTAGGCTTTCCAATCGCCAGCCGCGCATGGCGCTCTCAGCTTTCAGCCTGCGGTCCCGCCCCATCATCACCTCGCAAGGGGCGGGCAGTTCTACTGGGCACTTGGCGCTCTGAGCTAACCTGATCAGGGCAAATCTGCCCAGAGACAAGTGACGACTGAGGGTCCCGCCCTGAAGCTGGGCTGGGGCCTGGGATGGGAAAATTCTTGCAAGCATGGGAAGAAGTCTGGGAAACCAGAGGAGAACAAGATGATGGAGTAAAACGGGATGCCAGCCAGGGCTGCTAGCCAGAACTTCAGATCTAACCTCAGCGGCAGCCTCCAGGACAGCCGGAGCAGGCCAGCCTGGGCACGCCGGTCTCAGAAGGGGGCGTGTCTAGCGATTAGGTTGCAGATTAGCTTTCGGTTTCTCCTTCCGCTAAACGCCTGCACTTCTGGCCAGCGCCACTAGTTTCAGCAGATGCCCGGGACTTTCCGCGCACGCCGCCAGGCCTGCCGGTCTTCCCTCCCACGGAGACTCCTGGGCAACGGGACACCGAGAGTCTCAGGCTGAGACCAGACCCTGGACAGCGCGCTCGATGGCTGCCCTACTCTGGCTGGCGGCAGCGCTGCTGCTGCTTGCCGACTGGCTGCTGCTGCGGCCCGGACTCCCGGGATTCTTCTCCTTGCTGGTTCCGGGGATGCCGCTGCTCCGGATCTGGGCGGTGGGCCTGAGTCGCTGGGCCATCCTGGGGATGGGGGTCCGCGGGATCCTCGGGTTCACCACGGGAGCCCATGGATGGATGACCGCTTTGCAGCCGCTGACAGCAGCGCTGGGTTTAGCCCAGCCGGGACTTGCCTCTTTCCGAGAGCTGGCCTCCTGGGGAGCACTCGGGAAGGGTGACAACGTCAGAGTACTGCACTGGGGCAGTCGCCTCGACGCGTTCGTTCTCAGTTATGTGGCAGCACTGCCCGCAGCCGCCCTATGGCACAAACTGGGGAGCCTCTGGGCGCCCAGCGGCCGCAGGGGCGCTGGAGACGTGGTGCTTCGGCTACTAGGTTTCCTGGGTTCGGAGAGGCGTCGCCTCCACCTGGTTCTGTTTCTCTTGATCCTCTCCTGTCTCGGTAAGGGGGGGGGGGCTCAGGGAGAAAGGGTAGGCCACGGGGGACAGCAGGATTCCGGTAACAGGCAGAAAGAAAGATAAATGAAGTGCTCCCAGGAAGTCTCCGAGCCTAAGGAGGCAACTTAGGCGGAAAGGGAAGGCCCCTGGTCTGAGTGGGAGCTCTTACAAGGGTGCTGGGGACAGGGTCTTCCTGGGAGCAGAGCTTCACCGCACAGTTCTAGGGTCATGGTTTCTCTCCACACCGCCATCTCTCCTCTCTTTCCCTTTGAGACGGGGTCTTTCTATGTAGCTCTGGCTGTTCTATAACTTACTAAATGGCCCAGGCTGGCCTCAAACCCAGAGAGATCTGCCTGCCTCTGCCTGGAAGTACTGGGATTAAAGCCATGCTGTGTAAGCCCTGCTAACCTCCCTCTTTCTTAAAAGCATTTTATTTATTTATTTACTTATTTATTTGGGTTTTCGAGACAGGGTCTGTGTAGCTTTGGAGCCTGACCTGGAACTCGTTCTGTAGACCAGGCTGGCCTTGAACTCACAGAGATTCACCTGCCTTTGCCTCCTGAGTGCTGGGATTAAAGGCATGCTCCACCAACAGCCCCTTGGACCCACCATCTTTCTTAATTAGTCCTTGAAAAGTTTGATGTACCTGAGCAAGCTTGGGTCAGTGAGCTCAGCTCCCACTTTCTGGACAGTGGTGAAGGGAGAGGAGTGGGGGGGGGATCATAAGTGGTGTTCTCATAACATTTGTGGCTGAGATATCCTCCCCCCCTCTCCAGGGGAAATGGCCATTCCGTTTTTCACCGGCCGCATCACTGATTGGATTCTTCAGGACAAGACAGCTCCTAGCTTCACTCGAAACATCTGGCTCATGTCCATTCTCACCATAGCCAGGTGTGGAGGATGGGAATGGGACCCCAGAGTGGAGGGGACTGGATGCTGAGACTCTGACCCTCCATCCATCTCTCCAACTCTCTAGTACAGTGCTGGAGTTTGCTGGCGATGGCATCTACAAAATCACCATGGGCCACATGCACAGCCGTGCACATGGAGAGGTGTTTCGGGCTGTTCTTCACCAGGAGACAGGGTTTTTCCTGCAGAACCCAGCAGGTTTCTCATAACCTTTTTCATAATATTCATATTGTATAATTTTGTATACAATTATACAAAATACATTTAATAATATACATATACCCCCATACACACTCTTGACTGCCCCCCTTTATAAATATGTACACAGATGCCTAGGTTCAACCCCCAGCATCATATAAATAGGGTGTGGCAATCCCAGTGGTTGGGAGATGGAGGCAGAGGATAGAGGTTGAAGTTCAAAGTCATTCATCCACATAGCCAATATGTGGCCAGCCTAGGCTACGCTTTTTTTGAGACCCTGTCTTAAAACCCAGGGCTTCCTGCATGTTAGGCAAAAGCTCTACCAGCTGAGCAACCTTCCAAGCCTCGCGGAGCAAAACTTTGTCCTCTTTACTAAGAAAAACGGTGTTTGCTTTCACAATTTCCCATAGATAGAAACTTCAAACTGTGATGTTCAATTGCCTCATTTAAAAAGAGACCTGCATAGGCAGGTTAGACCCTGACCCCAGGGTCTCTGTTTTCTTGGCCACAGCCTTGCTTCTCTCTATGTCTACGGAATGACCACTGGCAGGACACAGTATATACGTGATCTTTGAGAAGCCGGAAGCGTTCAGGGAACTAGAAATTCACCATGTAGTCTTTGCTGGCCTCACTGTGTAGAGCAGGCTGGCCTTGACTGCCTCTGCTCCCCACCCCCAGAGTGTTGGGATTAAAGGTGTGTGCCACCACACCCAGCTACATCAACTTCTTTATAGGCCAACACAAGTCTGCCAGAGCTTTCCTTTATCTGTCCCTGCATTGAAGTTCCCACACCTACCCAAGCTCCTACCCCTGCTAGCTGCAGCCTCCTCAGGATGCTATGCTGACATGCCCACCATGGCACCCCGTTATCTGTTAGCATCCCTTGTCTCTGTGAACTCACTGTCTCTCTTGTCCTCAATGTGGCAGGTTCTATCACATCTCGGGTAACCGAGGACACATCCAAAGTGTGTGAGTCTATTAGTGACAAGTTGAACCTACTGATGTGGTACCTGGTGAGAGGCCTGTGTCTCCTGGCGTTCATGTTTTGGGGGTCACTGTACCTCACTCTGGTCACCCTGGCCACCCTGCCCCTGCTTTTTCTTCTACCTCAGAAGCTGGGAAAAGTGTACCAGGTACGTTCTCAGGGTACACCGCTTTGGGCTCGACTTTCCACTGCTTCTCCAGCATCCTGAGCCCCTGTCCCTGTTGCCTCTGGCCCCACACTGCTCTGTATCCACAGCCATGTTCTCTGCCTTCTCATCTAACTTCTGGCCACAATCTACCCTTATGAATCACATCCCAGGTTGGAGAGGCAGTTCAGGGTCAAGGGTACTAGCTGCTTCTCCAGAGGGGACCCGAGTTTGGTTCCCCAGCACCCACACCAGGCAGTCCACAATGATCTATAGTCTGATGTTCTCTTCTGGTCTCCATGGCCACTTAGATACATATGATGCACACACAGATGTAAAAATAAAGATCAATCTTATAGAAACTGAATTAGTTTCCTCTGCATATCTTCTACCTAGAAGTGTTGCTTTAGACCTTCCTCTTCCCTCTGCCCCTCTGGCTCTTGACTTTGATCTCCACATAGGTAACCTAGGTATTGGCATTCTTTCTCATTTGCACACCCTGTCTCCCCACAGTCACTGGAAATGAAGGTGCAGGAGTCTCTAGCGAAGTCCACGCAGGTGGCCATTGAGGCCCTGTCAGCAATGCCTACAGTGCGGAGCTTTGCCAACGAGGAGGGAGAGGCCCAGAAGTTTAGGCAGAAACTGGAGGAAATGAAGATACTCAACAAGAAGGGGGCCTTGGCCTATGTAGTTGAAGTCTGGACCATGAGTGTAAGTCCTGGGAATGAATGTCCACTCCTTTGTCCCAACCCTGTTTCTGTTCCTCCTCCAGTGGGAAGGAGTGGCTCGGGGTTTTCAGTCACTCTGCTCTCTGTCCTTAATTCCCTCCATGCTTTTTGATGCTGGGAAGCACCTTCCACAGAGGAACACAAAGTCCACTCAACCTATGCACTAGTGAGACACCACTCTCTGAGCTCCTGGTCTTTCTTTTGCCGCTCAGAAAGCCACACATTCCTGCACCGTGTGTGCTTCAAGCTGGCACTGTGCGGGTGAGCTAGTGGGGAGCCCGAGGCCAGTGTCCAGGGGCATCTGTAATAATGGCATAGAGATAACTAAAAGCTAGCGACTAGAGGTTCCTGGCTCAATCCTGCCGTCAACCAGCTCTGTAACCATGTACACATTACCTTTTGCTCAGGCTGTTTTCCTGTTTTGAAAAGTGAGAGTGAAAACTGGTGTGTTGGTTCACATCTGTAATCCCGGTACTCAGGCCGAGGCAGGAGGATTGCTGTGAGTTCCTAGGCATCATAGGCTGCGATGTAGGGAGTGAGGGCTCAGGAGGTAAAGATGCCTGCTACCAAGCCTGATGACCTGAGTTCCATCTCTGGAACCCACAGGATGGAAGGACATAATTGACCCCTGAAAGTTGTCCCCTGACTCCCACAAAGTACACCATAGCATCCACTCTCATAAAAAAAAATAAATAAATGTAGGTTTCAAAAAGTAAATAGAAAAAGCAAAACGGCAACAAGAAAGGGATAATAAACCCTGTTGGCTCTCTGTCCCTTGGGAGTGGGGATGGGGGAGACTGCTTTACAGAGGCTCTTCATTCAAGTGAGAACTATCTGACCGCTCAGCTGTTAAGAGCACATGCCTTTAATCCCAGCACTTGGGAGGTGGATCTCTGTGAGTTTGAGGACAGTGAGTTACAGGACAGCCAGAGCTACACGGAGAGACCCTGTCTCGAAAAAACAAAAGAAAAAAAGAGCACAGACTGCTTTTCCAGATGATCAGTACTGCCTGCAACTGTAGGACATGGTGGCCCCCTGAGCTGTTGTTCAAGTCTGATCCTTGATCCCTCCTTTCTCCCTGTCTTACGTGTCTGTGAGAATGGACTTTTCTTGTGATGATTCCAGTCTATTGTATCACATGGTTTCCTTGTAGATCTCGGGAATGCTGCTGAAGGTGGGAATCCTGTACATTGGCGGGCAGCTGGTGGTCAGAGGGGCTGTGAGCAGTGGGGACCTTGTCTCCTTCGTTCTCTACCAGCTGCAGTTCACCAGTGCTGTTGAGGTGAGCTCCCCCCCCCCCCCCCGCAGTGCCTCGGATGTCCCTGATTGCTATTGGCTGTCTGTGCTGCTGTGCGATTTGCTACCTCTTCACATCACTGAAGGCTGTCAAGAAATCTGGTCCGTCCTGGTCCCACCCACCCCACTCTACTATGCAGGCTCTGCTCTCCAGCTATCCTTGGATGCAGAAGGCTGTGGGCTCCTCAAAGAAAATATTTGAATACCTGGACCGGAGTCCTTGCTCTCCACTCAGTGGCTCTTTGGAGCCCTTAAACATGGAAGGTCTTGTTGAGTACCAAGACGTCTCCTTTGCCTATCCGAACCATCCAGATGTCCAGGTGCTTCAGGTATGCCCTTCCCATCCTGAATCCCACCTCCCAGCTTCACCCCTTCCATCCTCTTACCGACAGCCCAGGTCCTTCCTAACCCTCAAAAGCTTTGATAACAACCATGTGTTTATATCTCATCCCAACCCAAGCACGGGCTTGGTTTTCCAATGACAAAGTCTTCAAGGAGAGGTGGCTTCTGAGGCTGGAGTGATGGCTCAGTGGCTAAGAGCCATCTTGCAGAGGACCCCAGTTCAGTTCCCAGCATGCAAAGGGTGACTCACAACAATCTGCTCTAGTCCCAGGGAGAATCCTACAACCTCTTTTGACTTCTGTGGCCACAAGGCACAGACACATACATGCTGGGAAAATAGTCACACATATGAAAATAAATAAATAAATAAACAAACAATTTTAAGAGAAGGCTCCTATAAGAAAGGAGTTGGCACAGCCACATGTGACTCCAGCTGCCATTTGTGTTGCAGTTGTGGCTTCTGCTTCCTGGAGGGAATGCTTAGCCTTTGTTCACCTTCCAGTTTTACTTCCCAGTAATGCTTCTTGCTCATTCCTTCCTTAGCCCCAGCCTCTCTCTCTTGTCCTTCGGTGCTGTGAGCCCAGAAGTCCATGCATACAGAGACCAGGGACTACTGTGTATGTTCTCATTTTCCCTCTTGGGTAATATGTCATGTTATCCAGTGACAGTCTCCAGGCTAAAGAAGCCTTTGCCATGTGCTTCTCTGGCCTCTAGGGGCTGACGTTCACGCTGCATCCTGGAAAGGTGACAGCATTAGTGGGACCCAATGGGTCAGGGAAGAGCACTGTGGCTGCCCTGCTGCAGAATCTGTACCAGCCCACGGGGGGGCAGCTGCTGCTGGACGGACAGCCCCTGGTCCAGTATGATCACCACTACCTGCACACTCAGGTGAGCAAGGAGGAAGTGGGGGGGGGGAGATCAAGCCAGAAGGTTGGGGGGGTGCAGGCAATCAAGGACAGAGTGGGGGCTGTGTGCAAGACACATGACTGGCTGTATGTGCCCACTTGCTTGTGGGTCTGCAGACCCTAAACCAAAACACTCCTGTGTTTCCTGCCTGTGGCTCTTCACATTTTACCTTAGGTGGCCGCGGTGCTACAAGAGCCGCTGCTATTTGGAAGAAGTTTTCGAGAAAATATTGCCTATGGCCTTATCCGAAATCCAACCATGGAGGAAATCACAGCTGTGGCCAAGGAGTCTGGAGCCCATGATTTCATCTCTGGACTTCCTCAGGGCTATGACACAGGTATTGCCATCTTGACCCAGACTCCGATAATCTTGCCTTTGTTGGTCAATTCCTCCTGTCCTTTGGATTTCAGTTCATAGGTGAAACTCTTGTTTTTGTGTGAACATCCTCAGAGCTCCACCCATCCTCCCAGGGCCTCCATTCCAGCTGCCTCTGGTGTGTGTGTGTGTGTGTGTGTGAGAGAGAGAGAGAGAGGGGGGGGGGGGGGAGGGGGGAGAGTCAGAGTGTGTATGTGAGTGAGAATCAGAGTCTCTCTGTGTGTGTGTGTGTGTGTGTGTGCGCGCGCGCGCATGCGTGCGTGCATGAGTGCATGTGTGTGCGCGTGTGTGCGTGTGTGTGCACGCGTGTGTGCATGTGTGCGTGTGTATGTGTGAGAGAGAGGGGAGAGGGGGGAGGGGGGAGAGTCAGAGTGTGTATGTGAGTGAGAATCAGAGTCTCTGTGCGTGTGTGTGTGTGTGTGTGTGTGTGTGAGGGGGGGAGGGGGGAGAGTCAGAGTGTGTATGTGAGTGAGAATCAGAGTCTCTGTGTGTGTGCGCGCGCGCATGCGTGCGTGCGTGCATGTGTGTGTGTGCACGTGTGTGTGTGTGTGTGTGTGTGTGTACACCTGTCTACATCTCAGCTGGTCTCTTCTCTCTGCAGAGGTGGGTGAGACTGGGAACCAGCTGTCAGGGGGTCAGCGACAGGCAGTGGCCTTGGCCCGAGCTTTGATTAGAAAGCCACGCCTGCTTATCTTGGATGATGCCACCAGTGCTCTGGACGCCAACAACCAGCTACGGGTGAGCCTCTTGTCATCTGTGTTCTGAGACCATCTTGCTCTAAAACTCGGTTTGAAGGCCATACCAGCTTTCCTTTTTTGGCTGCCACCCAGCTGCCAAATTGTGACAAGGATACTTATTACTTTTGAATGCTCAGCCTGGCTTAGACTTGTTTCTGGCCAGGTCTTTTAACTTACACAACCTGTTTCTCTTTGCCTCAGGGCTGTTCATTTTTTCTTTCTGTATATCCTACTTTACCTGTTTCTTCTGTGTCTGCCTGACTGGCCCTTTCTTTCTCCCTCATTCTCTCCTCCTCCTCCTCTTCCTCTCTCTCTCTCTTTCCCCCCTTTCTTTTCAAGACAGGGTTTCTCTATGGCTTTGGAGCCTGTTCTGGAACTCACTCTGTAGATCAGGCTGGTCTCAAACTTACAGAGATCTGCCTGCCTCTGTCTACCTAGTGCTGGGAGTAAAGGCGTGCGCCAACACTATCTGCCCTTCTCTTTTTTCTTTTTTCAAGCCTAGATTCTGCCTGCTATTTATTCTTTCCTACTTGCCACCCTGTCTATTCCTCTTCTGCCTAGCTATTGGCTGTCCAGCTTTTTTATTAGACCAATTGGGTGCCTTAGGCAGACAAGGTGAAACAAATACAACACATCTTTACATGATTAAAAACAACACATCCTTACATTGTTAAACAAATACAGCATCAACAAAAGTAACACACCTTCAAATAGTTAATACTATTCCACAGCATAAACAAATGTAACACATCTTTGCCCTGTTAAAATAATGTTCCACAACACAGACCCATGGCAAATCTTCCTGCTGCTCCCTCTGGAGGGCAGGGATAGCCTGCTGCGTCCTTCCTAAGGTCTCAGTCCCATGGGATCATGTTTCTGTTGACTTAGTTACACCATCAATGTAACTGTTTAAACCTAGTTTTGGAATTCTCAGCTCTTATTCGATTTTCTCCAGGACATTCAGAACCAGGGAGAAGAGCCTCTCTTGTAACAGTGTCAATGTGAGCTGAGCTCTCACTGTGCCACAGACATGCTATCCCGCCCTTTGTACTCATTTTTCCATCAGGAGTCCTTGCTCTGCTCTGTCTGAGGATGGCAAAGCAGAGACTAAGAAAGGTCGATTAACCTTCTAAAAGTCACATAGCTATTGAGCAATGGATCCAAATCCAAGCCATCTGCCTGAATTCTCATGTTCTTTGTTACTAAGTTACATTTTCTTTACTTTTTATATTATTTATTTTGTGTGCATGAACATTTATTTTGTGTATGATGAGTATCATATTTATTTTATGTGTATGAGAATTTTATTTATTTATTGTGTATGAGTATTTTCCCTGAATATGTGTGTGCATTGCATGAGTGCCCAGTGCCCTCAAAAGTCAGAAGAGGGTGGTGGATCCCCTGAAATTGGAGTTATGGGTGATTGTGAACCACAGTGTGGGTTCTGGGACTCAAATCTGGGTCCTTTGGAAGAGCAGCCAGTGCCTTAACTTCTGAGCCATCTCTTGGTAGACGAATTATTCTTTGTGCTGTCATATCACAAAAAAAATGACTCGGAGACTTATTAATTATGAAAGTTTGGCCTTAGCTTAGGCTTATTCCTAACTAGTTCTTATAACTTAAATTAACCCATATCTTTTCATCTACATGGCTCAGCTACCATTTTGCTGGTGACTCTGGTTTCTGTTCCCAGAAGTCCCACATAACCTCTTTCTGCCTAGCTAATAATCATTCAGCTCTTCGTTAAAACCAATCACAGGGACACATCCTCACACAGATTAAATATAAAGAGTCTCAGTTTATTAGTGGGTTATTAAGAATGTGTATGTAGTATGGAAGGGGACGTGTGTGTGGGCTTCCTGTGGGAGGGGAGAAGAGGGAAATGGGGGGATTATATTTCATTGTACGCGTGTGAAAATCTCAAAGCATAAATTAATATATACATGTGTGAAATTCCCAGAACATAAATTAATATATATTCTTGAATGGAAAAAAAAATCCCACATATGAAGGCTGGGCAAGGGAACGCTAGTCTTATTGCAACTTGATATGCCATGTTTGGTTGATGTCCCTGAAAGGCCTGCCCTTTTCTGAAGGGAAACAGAGGAGGAGTGGATGGGGGAGAGGGAGGGGCTGGGAGGAGATGAGGGAGGGGGACTGCAGTCAGGATGCATTATATGAAAGAAGAAAAATTAAAAAATGAAAAATTCCCAGCTTATGCTTATGAGTAGACGCGTGTTCTCAGTTCCCTCCATTTCATGCTTTGTACCACCTCTTGTGGAGAGGCCTTAACAAAGCAGAGGTTTGGAGAGAAGCACTCAGACCAGCAATATCAGCACCCTCGTGGTTGTTGGCCAGTGACAAGTGTATCCCAGCCCTGGAAGTATAGAGGCCCCTGCCCTGAAGGTCTGTCTGTGCTTGTGCAGGTCCAGCGGCTCCTGTATGAGAACCCAGGGCGGGCTTCTCCAACTGTGCTGCTAATCACCCAGCAGCTCAGCCTGGTGAAGCAGGCTCACCACATCCTGTTTCTCAAAGACGGCTCTGTCTGCGAGCAGGGCACCCACCTGCAGCTCATGAAGAAGAGCGGAGGGTGCTACCGGGCCATGGTGGAGGCTGTTGTGGCTCCTTCAGACTGACAGGCCTCTGGACCTACTGTCCTCCTGCACTATCTTCTGCTCTGTGTGGCGAAGAACCTGGGAGCAAAGATATTGCCACACCCATTGACCAAGTGTTGGTCACAAGATAAAATGTAACATCTAGGAAATGCCTGGACTTTGCGGTGAATGTTATCCCCACCCCAGCCCCTTAGTTAGAGTGGGTTTCAGGTACCCCAGGCTGACCTTGAACTCTCTTGCCTCCACCCTCCTGGTGTTGCTCTGGTATCACAGCACCGACAAACCTGGCTTATGCGGTGCTGGGAATGGAACCGATGAGAAGCAACTCTCACAATGAAGCAGGTTGTAATTAACCAAAGGTACAGGCTGGCTTATGGACAACAATCCGTGGGCTCTTGGTATTTATAATAAAACTGGTGTTTTGTACTGTGGCTTCCTCCATTTCTCTGCATCCACAAACGGCTCACTGAGTTAGCCAAGGCTCTTCCACATGCACAGCTCTTCTTCACTACTCTATTTTACTACTGGGTCCTATCATCTTCTTTTATTTTACTCAGCATCGTACTCCTGGTGCTGAGCAGGACCGGGAGGCACCACCCCGTCCCCCACGCACCCCAAGGCATGGCAGAGCCTGGCTCTTCTTCGCTGAGGCGGGAGGAAGGCCTGCAGCAGGTGGAGAAGCCAGGGTGCCACACCCCATCCTCTCTGATCCTTTCAGAGCCTTTCACCTCGCTCTTCATAGAAGCAGATAGGATTATCTAGTAAAGCTCTTGCATTTAGAGAGGGCTAGGTGAATGTGACGCCAGCAGTTGCTGGGCAGATGAGGTCCGCACAAGTTGCAAAGAGAGGCGAGGTTTAGAAGGACACAAAGAAGGAACGCTCAGTTCGGACCTGAGCATGGCGAGCGCCCAGGGCAGAAGGGCGGGTTCTCAGGGTGGTGAGACTGTTGAGCAGGGAGGGGTCCTGGGAGGGACCACAGGGAAAGACCCGAACTGCGCCCTCTCCTTGAATGACCTTTCCTCTGAATGACGCTCTGGGGTGTCTTCTCACCCCACTACCCCCGTCGTCCCAGGATCTAAGGACCCGGAGCGCCCATTTATCATTTTATTTTCCAGTTTCTATAAAATGATGCTCATTTGAATGCTGTCTGGTCCCCAGGCACGACCTGAGACGCACGCCTAGGAAATGCTGCCTAATACTCCTCTCTTTAGGTGACAGGACCCTATCCAGTCCTGCGCTATTTCCAGAGGATGCTGGCCGGTGCCTTCTCAAGTACCCTACTGCTAGGCGGCCTTTGAAGGCGCCCCTCTTCGTCCATCGCAAGGCCCATTCTCCAGCTGGATTCACCGACCGGGGCAGGGAAACTCGTCCCTACATTCTTCGTTCAGACACCCATTGATTGGGCTCTTCTTGGAAAGGCAGGAGATGCGGCAGGGGTGGGGGGAGGCCTGGTTCCCTCCCCTCGGTGCTGTGGCTTTCGCTTTCACTTCCTTGTCGGAGAGTCGACGGATCTCCGGGGCTGAACGGTCATGGCGTTACTGGATCTGTGCGGAGGTGCTCGGGGGCAGCGGCCCGAGTGGGCTGCCCTGGGTGCAGAAAGAGGGTATCGCTCGGACCCGGGACACTACAGTTTCTCTGTGCAAGCTCAGGAGCTCGCACTTCCCCGGGGGATGCAGGTGAGGATTGTAGGGACCCTTGAGAGTCGCCAGAGGAAGGCAGAGGAAGCAGGGTCTGCCTGGGTCTGAGGGGGTGAGGAATCCTGGAGAGACTGTCCAGGAAAGAAACATCCAGGCCAGCCCTGAAGAACCCACGTGTAGATGAACACTGGGGGGAGAGGAAGGGAGGGAGGAAAGAGAGAGGGGCAGAGGGACAGAGGGACAGAGGGACAGAGAGAGAGAGAGAGAGAAGATGGGGGTATCCATACTAAGACACTGCACAAATCACCGCCTTTACAGACTCCCACCTCTACACTGTCTTGGAAGACCCATGAACTCGGGCGGCTAAGCTGGCCTCAACAACCCACCCGTATGTGTGCTAGAGCACATTAGGCAGCCTTGGTCTCAAGCTGTAAAATGAGCATACATTAATAAAATGTGCTTTGTGGGAACTGAAGGAGTCTTGGATGGGGAAACACACCTTGAAGTCAGTTACAATGACGTTTGTTCCCTTGTACTGGAAACCAGAAAGGCTGGTGGCCATGCCTCCTGTCTTTCCCTCTACTATCTAGAGTCTGGCTATCGGTGGTTAGAGAATCTGGAGACCCTTCCTCAGCCACTACTCTCTAAAAACCTGCCACTGAGGTGTTCGATGCCACCTTTCTGCATCCTCTCCCTTAGCCCACGGACTTCCTGAGGTCCTTTGGTGGTGACCAAGAAAGGAATGTTCAGATTGAGATGGCCCATGGCACAACCACACTAGCCTTCAAGTTCCAGCATGGAGTCATTGTGGCAGTAGATTCCCGGGCCTCCGCGGGGACTTACATCAGTGAGTACTGGAGCTCTGCAGCCACGGTCTCTTAGTCTGAGGCCTGCACACCATTAGGACAGAGCAGCTATGGAGTTGGAGCACTGTGGCTCATTCCTTTGATATCAAACTCTTCTAGGCACCTTAAGGGTAAACAAGGTGATCGAGATTAACCCTTACCTGCTCGGCACCATGTCTGGCTGTGCGGCTGACTGTCAGTACTGGGAGAGGCTATTGGCCAAGGAATGCAGGTGGGCAGATTTTCTCATTTCCTTTGTTAGGTCCTTGAATCTCATAGACAGCTTATCCCTGGTGATCTCTCCTAACCCTAATAAGGGATTTAAAAAAAGAAAAAGAAAAAGCCTTTGTTCGATTAAAAAATCTCCCAAATCTTAGTTCTCACTACTGCTTATAAGCCAGGTAATCTATTGATTATTTAATGCGGACACCATCAATCCTGTAGGATTGTGTTTTTTACTAGGCTTTAAAAAATGTGGTTCAGGTATCGTAAATTCCAAATATTTCCCTTGTTCTTACGTCGTACCAGTTCATACCTTTCAAACGCTCATCTCTACAATTCTTCCTTGAATCTGCCCACCACCCCTGAGGCCTCCTCCTTCCCCCCCTCAGGCTGTACTACCTGCGAAATGGGGAGCGCATCTCCGTATCTGCAGCCTCCAAACTGCTTTCCAACATGATGCTTCAGTACCGTGGCATGGGCCTCTCCATGGGCAGCATGATCTGTGGCTGGGACAAGAAGGTGGGTGGCCTGCACCTGTGCTCCACACCCTGGATGAGCTGTCCCTTACCTACTGAACATGACCCCCCTCTTCAAAACATCAGGTTGTGATGTTTATCAAAGTGTGCTGTCTTAACTCAAATGCCTCCATTGGCTATGTTGCCCATTCTTCACCAGGCACACTTGAGTCTTTATATTAGCAACAAGCCATTTCCAAATTTAACTCTGGATGGCTTGCCATCTTCTAGGGTCCAGGACTCTACTATGTGGATGAAAATGGGACTCGTCTCTCAGGACAGATGTTCTCCACTGGCAGCGGGAACAGCTATGCCTATGGGGTGATGGACAGTGGTTACCGGCAGGATCTCAGTCCGCAAGAGGCCTATGACCTTGGCCGCAGGGCTATTGTGCATGCTACCCACAGAGACTGCTATTCTGGAGGCGTTGTCAATAGTAAGAGACAGATGCCTCCCTCAAATACCTGGGAGATGTGGGGAGGTTTTAGGCTGGGGAGACTCAGGGGCAATGGAGATTTTCAGATTCCAGAAAAAGGTTTTCAGCTTGTGTGTGTGAGTGCCAATGCTCATGTAAGCCTCTGCTGCCACCCATGCCACACCACTGAAGAAAGCGTTGACACCATGTTCTTTTCTCAACCGCTCACAGTGTACCACATGAAGGAAGATGGTTGGGTGAAAGTGGAAAGTTCAGACGTCAGTGACCTGATGCACAAGTACCGAGATGCCAATTAGTGATGGTGGCGGCTGCTGGGCAGGTGGCTCCTGTGAGAATGGTGGACTCAGGAGAAAGAAGGGCCCAACCAGGGCTGCAGACAGAAAGCCCAGAGGCCGTGGAGACTGCCAGGTTCACCTCTGTTTCACCGAGCACCCCATTCTGGGATGCCTTCTAAGTATAATAAAAGAAAACGGTTATTACATATCTCTGTGTTGTGGCTGAATCGAGTCAGGCTGTGGGGTCCTTTGCAGGGAGGGATAGAGAGCTAATAGGAAATCAAGTGAGGCTTAGATTGTAGCTCAGATAAGTAATTGAGCATCACCAGGTTCTTCCTGGACATCTTCGGCACTCCCCTCTCAGGAGGGCCCATCATCTTTCTCTTTGGACACTCACTTTCCATTTCATTTGGCCCATGGCCCTTCCTGGAGTGTCACATTCTGGGGACTCCAGTGTGGCCCCCTGGGTATGTTTGGGCAGCGACTGGGAGGTCTTTAGGATGACTGTAAACAGTGAATAAAGTCAGCAGCACCTTTGTGTCATCGGATATTGAATGTAGAGATGTTGCTGGGGTTCAATTACATGATGTGTCACCTGCGGCTGCAAGGTGAGATCACAATGAGGAGCTGAGCAGGCCTCCCTGGAGTGAGGGAAGTAGAGAAAAATGAAAGACAAGAGGCTCCTAGGGCTTCTGGAAGCACAGTGGTCAAGAGCCAGGCCATGGGCTAGAGGAGGAGCCAGAGCAGCCAAGTAGGAGCTTGCATTACTAGGGCCCTGAGCAGATAAGGGTGGCCTTGTAGCAGGACCAGTTTCAATGCGCTCACCTCCCCTACCCCCTCACACACAAAGTGATTCATGGACAGCCACACCAAGATTTCAAAGGGGGGTATTTATTTATTTATTTATGTATGTATGTATTTTTACTTTTTCTTTGGCAGCAGTTTCAACCCACTGAGTCATCTCTGAGAGTGTTGCTTTGGTGGAGGGACATGGCCATGCTCAGCAAGGACACTTTGTTTCTGTAGCTGAGAAGGAAGCCAATGCCTCACTGAGCTCACAGGGAAGGGCTCTGCCCTTGGGTCCAGAGGGTTGATTTCTTCCATAACCTGGGCTCTGGGGGAGGAATTCAGGTTGAAACTGTAGCTGTTTGGTAGTGCTGGCTTATAACAGCCTCTCCCTCACATGCAGCAGGCCCTGGCACTGACTCAGGACTCTCACCGAAGGTGCAACACTGAGAAGGAAGTCTGAGGACAAGGGCCAGGGCCTCCTGGGCTCAGAAGTCTGTGAAAGCAAACCTTGGGCTTGGAGATAGGGGCTAGGCTTTTTATTTAGGCCCATTGTTTTGCCTCAAGACCCCTGGTCCCGAGCTTGCCTGGAAAACAAACAAACAAACAAACAAACAAACAAGCCCCTTGTCTCCTCTCCCTACTCCCCTCCCTGCCTTTCCCAAGGTGACTCCAAGTGGGTGTCCTATGTAGTTCACTGTTGCTGTTTGGGTGACTGGGAGAGGAGGGGAGGTCACCTAGAACCACGCCCTTCGCCCTTCGCCATTTTCTTCTTTCTCCTCCTCCACTCTCTCCCCCTTCTCCTCCTCCCTCCTCCGTTACCCCTTTCTCTTCTCTTCCTCTTTCTTCTCTCTTTCCCTTCCTCATACCGACTAGAAGGTGAACCTAGTTCTCTATTCCTGAGCTATATTCCCAGCCAAAGGAGCGCTTCTTAAAACAGGTTCGGAGCTCGAGAGGGTAACCGGGGGCATGCAAGTTTTTTGTTTTTGTCTTTGTTTTTTTTTGTTTGTTTGGGCTTTTTCCCCCATCACAAAGCATCTCAGACCCTCTGAGAGTTTTGTTAGCAGCTGCCAACAAGGGTGACCCTCCTTGGACATCTGGGGCGCTCACGCCTCCTGTAGGTTGGCAGGCGCCGCCTGCTGGCCGCTGTGCGCAGCGCCCGGACCTGGGCAGTGAAGTGAAAGCGAAAGTGACGGACCGGGCGCCCTCACAGCGAGACTGTCGCTGGCACACCGGGGGGGATTCAGTCTGGGGAGAAGCAGATTTCAGAAGTGCTGCTGAGCTGCTGTTCTGCAGGTGAGTTCTTTTGTGGGAGAGCCCGAGAGCCAGCAGGTGCGGCCCACTCCCAAACCCTTAGTGTCCCCGTCCCCATCTCGCCCCCTCTGAGCGTTCCCCGTCTTAGGTCTTCTGCCGGGCACTCGCTGCCCCACGTCCTCTGCCCTGCTCTCCTGCCCCATTCAATGTCCCAGGTCCTCTGCTCCAGGTCCTAAGTCCCGCTCCCAGTGTCCCAGGTCCCCTACCTCTCATCCCTTGCCCAAGGTCCTCTGCCCCACTCCCTTGCCCGGAGTCCCCTGTCATTCGTCTTCTGTCTGGCGCCGCCTGCCCCAAGTCCTCTGTGGCCACATACCGCCACCACTGCACCCTAAAGACCCGGGGACTTCTGGAGGGAGTGTGACTTGGGACTGAGTCTTCTTGGTTAACATCAAGAAGCTTCAAGGGAACAGGTGTGGTAGCAGTAGACCCCCCCCCGTGTGTGTGTGTGTGTGTGTGTGTGTGTGTGTGTGTGTGTGTATTGTGACTTTCCCCAGTCTCTCAGGCAGGCAGCGTGCCATCTATCCCAGAAGAAGTGTGACTAGGAGGGGTCCTTTCCCGTGAGGCCGAATAAAATGAGGAAACCTGAGAAGCTTGATGTGGGTTTGGGGCCGGAGGCCTGTAACCAGGGTTGGAACTTTTCCCTTTCTTCCTGCAGGGCCCATCATGGCACTAGCCCACCTGAGGCCCTGGGCATCTTTGCTGCTGGTGGACATGGCTTTACTTACACTGCTGCAGGGGTCTCTGGGAAATATGCTTCCCCAGGGGCTTCCAGGACTGTGGCTGGAGGGCACCCTGCGACTTGGAGGGCTATGGGGGCTGCTAACAGTAGGAGGGCTGCTGGGACTTATGGGGACCTTTCTGCCCTTGCTCTGCCTGGCTACCCCGCTGTTTTTCTCACTGAGAGCCCTCGTGGGAGGCACCATGAGTGGCCCGGCAGTCAGAGTGGCTTCTGCCTCTTGGGGCTGGCTGCTGGCTGGCTATGGGGCTTCCGGGCTGAGCTGGGCTGTGTGGGCTGTGCTGAGCCCTCCAGGAGCCCAGGAGAAGGAACCAGGCCAGGAGAACAACAAAGGCTTGATGTGGCGGTTGCTGAAGCTTTCCAGGCCCGACCTGCCTTTCCTTTTGGTTGCTTTGTTCTTCCTCGTGTTGGCTGTGCTGGGTGAGAGGGAGAGGCCACAGTGAGGGGGAGGTGGGAGAAGGGCCTAGGCAGGGTGCAGCCTCCTTATCTTTCTTGTCTCTTTCAGGGGAGACCTTAATTCCTCACTATTCTGGTCGTGTGATTGACATCCTGGGAAGCGATTTTGACCCAGATGCTTTTGCCAGCGCCATCTTTTTCATGTGCCTATTCTCTGTTGGGAGGTGAGTGGGTGATTGACTTCAGGTCCCATGTCTGGACAGGCGCCCTCCATCCTGACTCTGATTTGCACAAAGCACAACATGAAATATACATGTTTCGTTTATAATTTTGGATCTACTCTGAGAATTTTCCTCTTCTGGACTCTTAAGTTTGGCCCGTTTTGGGTGTGTTCTAAACAAACACCCCCCCCCCCCCGTTCTTGTGAGTGAGCATGGAGCATGCCTGCACACTGGAGGTCAGAGGATGCTGAGTCAGCTCTGTCTGAGTGGGACCTAGGTCATCACCAGGTATGACCACACAGTGTGTTTTGATTTCTTAAAAGTATTCTTTGAGGCAGGTGACTCTCCAACACTGAGCTGTTTCATAAACAGTTGCTCCAGGGGCACTGCCGCTAGTTAGGTATGCACCTTGCTGTCCTGTACTCAGGATACTAGTGCACCACACTCCCTCCTGGCCCTTCCTTAAGATGCCCCCTTTTCTGTCCCCATCCACAAAATTTAGGACCCCCGCTCTGTGCCTCAGCCTCATGTCTAGTGCCACTCTGCTGTTTCTGCCTTCAGAACTGTCTGCCTGGCCTGGGGAGATAGCCCAGTGGGTCATGTGCTTCCCATACAAGCACTGGGAGAGTCTCTAATCCCAGAACAGGGCATGGAGTGAGGATAGGTGGATCCCAAGGCCATGGTGGCTGGCCAATCTAGCAGAAATGCTGGGATCCAGGTTCAGTGAGAAACCCTGTCTCAAAAAATAAAATAAAATAAAATAAAAAAGGTGGAGAGCAATCCAGGAAGACATGTGATGTCAACCTTTAGTCTTTGAACACACACACACACACACACACACACACACACACACACACAGAGAGAGAGAGAGAGATACACCAGGAAGTTATTTGCACCCACATGCAATACAGACAAACAGACAGATGACACACACACTCTGGTGGCTCCTTTTCATTCTTACTGTGATCACCCAAAGCCCCCCATTTTGTGTCTGCTTATCCAATATGGTAACTAAATTTGCATTTGAAGCCCATATTTTGTAAAACACCTGCTTTTGCACATTTAAAAACACTTCTTCCTTTACGTTTTTAATTATAAAAAAAGTTGGTTGATATAAGAGGATTTCCCAAAGTATGGAAGGTGACTGGGGGTGGGGGTGGTCTTCAGAATGGGAGGGAGGAACTTGTTGCTGTTTCCAAAGGAAGCACACATGGGTCCCTGAGCACACGGGGTTTGCACAGGTTGTAAGTGTGAGTCTGACCCCTTCCTACCCATTTATTCACATGTTCTCCCCTCCCCCTTGCCCCTTGTCTCCTTCCCCCAATCTCCTCCCTCCCCCTTCTGTCCATCTCTCTTTCCACCTCACCCTGATGCTATCTGCCCGCTGCCTCAGCTCCCTGTCTGCAGGCTGCCGAGGAGGTTCTTTCCTCTTCACCATGTCCAGGATCAACCTGCGGATACGAGAGCTGCTTTTCTCCTCCTTGCTGCGCCAAGACCTTGGGTTTTTCCAGGAGACCAAGACAGGTGAACCTGGCATCGGGGGTGGGGTCCTGTCTCTCCCTTGTTCTGCTGCTTCTCCCCCTCCCCCCCCCCAGTCTGGCAGTCATCTTTTAGAGAAGGGTAGAGGTGTAGTCCAGTCTCCTTGTAGGGAGAGGGGAGTGTGAGAGGTGAGGATGAGTCAGTGAGATGTCTTAGAGTGAGTTCTTGGGTTTCTGCAGTGTCCAGGTCCCCTCATCCTTACTGTTCTCCCCAGGGGAGCTGAACTCACGGCTGAGCTCAGACACCTCCCTGATGAGTCGCTGGCTCCCTTTCAATGCCAACATCCTGTTGCGAAGCCTGGTGAAGGTGATTGGACTCTACTACTTCATGCTGCGGGTGTCTCCCAGACTCACCTTCCTGTCGCTGCTGGACCTGCCCCTCACAATAGCAGCTGAGAAGGTGTACAACCCCCGCCATCAGGTATAGATGCATGTCACAGTGCTCTGAGAGGAGACTAAAGTGTAGAGGCGTGCAGATTTCACAAAGGGGGGGGGAGAGGGAGAGAGAGAGAGAGAGAGAGAGAGAGAGAGAGAGAGAGAAGCTCTTTTCAGCATCTACAGTTTATGGTATCCTTGTACCACATTTTCCTAGTTCAGTCATCCACCCATTGAGTTGATGAGGTGTGCACTGGATCTCTAAGCACAAGTGCTGCTTGTGCTGAGCTGTGGGTGAGAGGGAGGTGAGGAGGCATCTTTCTGGTAAGGTGGTGTCTTCTCATGAGCTTCTCAAAGTCTATGTATGCCCTTCCCACAAATGTTGGAGAATCAGTGTGAAGAATGCCTTAGGAGGTTTACATTTCATTTGTTTTTACTTTGTGTATTGCTTGTGTGTGATGGTCATCGTCTGTGTGCAGTACCCCAGGAGGCCAGAAGATGGCGTTGGATCCCCTGGATCTGGAGTTACAGACAGTTAATAGTGTGGATGCAGGAATTGAACCTGGGTCCTCTGGAGGAGCAGCTAGTGCTCTCACCCACTGAGGCATCTCTCCAGGCCTAGAAAGTTTCCCCTTTGACCTCAGCATGCATAATTGGATGGAGTGCAGAGGAGGGAGGACTTGGGTTGGGCAATCCTGAGTGAATTCAGTTCTCCCTTGGTCCTTTCCTTGTGTGAAAGCACTCAGGATGTAAAAACCAGCCTGTGGTGAAGGGTGGTGTTGGTGCTGGCTTTGATCCCAGCACTCAGGAGGCAGAGGCAGAGGCAGGAGGATCTCTGTGAGCTCGAGACCAGCCGGTTCTACAGAGTGAGTCCCAGGCCATCCAGGACTGCTTCACAGAGAATCCCTGTCTCTTAAAAGCCAAAACCAACCAAACAACAACAAAAACCCCACCATGTTGCTCACTTTTGGATCACACTGCGTTCAAAGCACAAGCCTTCTGATTCCCCACATTCCCCACTTTCCCCACAAACCTACTATCATTTTACTTTTAAAAATGTGAATAAAAGCCATCGTACTGGCTGTGGAGCAGTGGCTCATTGTGGCTTTGATTTGCATTTTCCTAACCGTTAATATTTTAAAATGTATTTTTACATGCTTGTGGGACATTTTGACACATTCTATGGAGAGATGTCCATCTAATTCCTTTTGTTGCTTTTGGCCATTTGGCTAAAAGAAATTCATATGCCCTTTTTCACTTTAAAAAATTTGTAGTTTTGTTTTGTTTATTTTGAGTTCTGGTTTTTGGCTTTTGGAGAGACGGGGTTTCACTGTGTTGCCCTGGCTGTTCCAGAATGCACTCTGTAGACCAGGCTGGACTTGAACTCAGAGATCTAACTGCCTCTGCCTCCGGAGTGCTGGGATTAAAAGCATGTGCCACAGCCACCTGACTTAAAATTTGCAGTAAAAGCCATTCTTCATATATTTTTAAAAATTGTATTTTTAAAATGTATTCTGCATATATTCTGGTTGTCAGTTGGCACGATGGGGACAGCATGAGTAGGCTAGTGACTCATGGGCTGTGGCAGAGTTCACCGAGACAGGAAAGGCAGCAGCAGAGGGTGACTAGAGACATGGTGGGACAGCCACAGCAGGGACAGCAGGGGCAATGAGCACACGGGAGCTCTCAGGGGCTGCTGTTGTGAGGGCCAGGCTGTGTTAAATGTCACAGCGCCCTGGGATAGTCACTGCTGGTCTGGAGGCACTGGTGGTCTTGCCATGAGTTATCTTGGGTTCAACATAGAGCACAGGTCTTAAACTGGCACCCACTTTGCAGCTGGGGCATGCTGTGGTTAACTCCCAGGAGATAACTGGTATGCTCAGAGGCAAAGGGCCCTGCTGAGCCCAGCCTGCCCTGAGGCAAAATAGTCATGAGGTGAAGTTAAGATTCCTAGAACAACTGCCTTCCCCCAAACAGCAGCTGCTCTAACCTCTTATCTGATTTACAAAGGTGCATCTTGGTGCTCTTCACTGTGTATGAGGCCCTATGCTGCAGTGTGGACAGGGTCCTGTGTGTCACTGTGGACAGGGTCCTATGTGTCACCGTGGACAGGGTCCTGTGTGTCACTGTGGGCAGGGTCCTGTGTGTCACCGTGGACAGGGTCCTGTGTGTCACCGTGGACAGGGTCCTGTGTGTCACTGTGGGCAGGGTCCTGTGTGTCACCGTGGACAGGGTCCTGTGTGTCACCGTGGACAGGGTCCTGTGTGTCACCGTGGACAGGGTCCTGTGTGTCACCGTGGACAGGGTCCTGTGTGTCACTGTGGGCAGGGTCCTGTGTGTCACTGTGGACAGGGTCCTGTGTGTCATTGTGGGCAAGTGTCCTATGTGTCCCCGTGGACAGGGTCCTATGTGTCACCGTGGACAGGGTCCTGTGTGTCGCCATGGACAGGGTCCTGTGTGTCACCGTGGACAGGGTCCTGTGTGTCACCATGGACAGGGTCCTGTGTGTCACTGTGGGCAGGGTCCTGTGTGTCACCGTGGACAGGGTCCTATGCTGCAGTGTGGACAGGTCCTATCTGTCTTTGTTGCCTGTGCCTTTGGTGTCCCACTTAAGAATTCATTGTCAAATTCAGTATCAGGAAGCCAGTTAATTGGGGCTGAAGAGGTGGCTCAGGGGTTCAGAGCCCTTACTGCTCTTGTAGAAGACTGGGGCTTGGTCCTAGCAACCACAAGCCAGTTATCCAGTGCCCACTTCTAGCTGCAGAGGTCCCTGCACACACACACACACACACACACACACACGCATGCACACACGCACACGCACACACACTCACGCGCGCGCACGCGCACACACACGCACACACACATGCACACGCACACACACACACATGCACACACAGAGTTTTTTATAAAGAGTTTTTACAGTTTCAACTCTGAAGTTTAGGTCTTTGATCCATTTCTAATTACAGGTCCTCCTTTTTAAAATAAAGGTCTGTTTTATCATTTGTGTATGTGCACATGCACTCGCATGTGTGTGCACATGTGTGTGGCTGCCCACAGAGGCCAGAAGACAGCACCTGATCCCCTGGAGCTGTGGTTGCAGGTGGCTGAGAGCTGCCTGGCATGGGTGGCTGGCACTGCATCCTGGTCATCTGGGGGAGCAGTGAGCTGTCTAAATGGCTGAGTCATCTTGCCAGCCAGGTCTTCATCTTTCTTAGCTACTGTCTCTTTCCCCATCTGACATCAGGTGGAAGGATTTACTTCCACACATGTCCTACAGTATTTACCAGTGAGAGCTCAGCAATGCACATTCTGTCCTTCCTTTTCTGTCATGAGTGTGTGAGATACACAATGGGGTGCAGGGGTGTGTGTGATACACAATGGGGTGCAGGGGTGTGTGTGATACACAATGGGGTGCAGGGGTGTGTGTGATACACAATGGGGTGCAGGGGTGTGTGTGTGAGATACACAATGGGGTGCAGGGGTGTGTGAGATACACAATGGGGTGCAGGGGTGTGTGTGTGATACACAATGGGGCGCAGGGGTGTGTGTGAGATACACAATGGGGCGCAGGGGTGTGTGATACACAATGGGGTGCAGGAGTGTGTGTGTGTGAGATACACAATGGGGTGCAGGGGTGTGTGAGATACACAGTGGGGTGCAGGGGTGTGTGTGTGTGAGATACACAATGGGGTGCAGGGGTGTGTGAGATACACAATGGGGTGCAGGGGTGTGTGAGATACACAATGGGGTGCAGGGGTGTGTGTGATACACAGTGGGGTGCAGGGGTGTGTGTGTGTGATACACAATGGGGTGCAGGTGTGTGTGTGATACACAATGGGGTGCAGGGGTGTGTGAGATACACAATGGGGTGCAGGGGTGTGTGAGATACACAATGGGGTGCAGGGGTGTGTGTGATACACAATGGGGTGCAGGGGTGTGTGAGATACACAATGGGGTGCAGGGGTGTGTGAGATACACAATGGGGGCGCAGGGGTGTGTGTGTGGGTGTGTGAGATACACAATGGGGGCGCAGGGGTGTGTGTGTGGGTGTGTGAGATACACAATGGGGGCGCAGGGGTGTGTGTCCATGGCAGGTGATGTTCTTTGGGAGCAAGATAGGGTCTCTTGGGGCTTCAGGTCCTTATGTTGGCAAAGCAAATAGTGAGACATCTCTCCAGACCCTCCCCTCCCCTCTTTCCCTCTCTTCCCTTCCCTTCCTCTCTCTTCTCCTATCCTCCGCTCCCCTCCGCTCCCCTCCCCTCCTCTCTTCTTTCTTCCTTTCAATATTCCTTCTGGAAAGAAAGGCAAGCAAAGCAACAGGGTGTAGCCCTGGAATGAAGCCCATGGTCTGTTGTGTTCTGACACATTAACCAGCTTATGCACTGTCTCGCTGTCTCTTTCCAGGCAGTGTTAACAGAGATCCAGGATGCGGTGGCTAAGGCTGGGCAGGTGGTCCGAGAGGCGGTAGGAGGGCTGCAGACTGTGCGCAGCTTTGGGGCTGAGGAGCAGGAGGTCAGCCGCTATAAGGAGGCCCTGGAGCAATGTCGACAGCTATGGTGGCGCCGAGACCTGGAAAGAGCCTTGTATTTAGCCATACGGAGGGTGAGGCGGCCTGTGGAGGGACAGGCGATGAGGAGCCAGACAAAGGAGGTTGGGGACCAGTGTAGTGCACTGGGCTGGGGGCTCACTGCTCTCTCCTTCCCTCCAGGTGATGGCCTTGGGCATGCAGGTGCTAATCCTAAACTGTGGTGTACAGCAGATCCTGGCTGGTGAGGTCACCAGGGGAGGCCTGCTCTCCTTCCTGCTCTATCAGGAGGAAGTGGGGCATTATGTCCGGGTGAGTGAGATGCCTTCAGTGCACACTTGTTGCTCTGTGCTTCCCCCTGTGCTTCTGGGCTGTGAGCATTTGTTTAACAAACCAGTTGATATTCTTATGGATAGTTTTAAACATGTTAAAAAAAAAAGACATTATAATGGACTTTCATTATTGTCAGTTAACAATGATCATAACCTTAATCTTAACTCAAACCCCAACCCTAACTCCATTGTAAACAAATGCTGACCTTAACCCATCCTAACAACTCAAATAGCCATGACCCTAACTTAACCCCACCACTACTAACCTTATCCCTGAGTGCAACCCAAAACTGAACCCTACCGCTAGCTTATACTAACCCTAACCCTAACCTACTCCTAACAGCCCACTGTGTTAGGTCTGCCCTTGCTCCCCTCATATTATTTTGAAACAGATTGAAAATATCACAGTCTTGTTTGTAGCTATCTCCATGTGCATCTCTAGAATATAAAACTCTGAAGTATGTAGTTCAAAAGCTATTACCATATCAAAAACTTAGCTGTGATTTTTTAAAATTCATCCAGTACACTCAGTGCTCAGATCTCCACAGGTCCACATGGTGTGATCGGTTGATGTCCTTTCAATCTCTCCATGTCTACTGCTTTAAAATTCCCCACCTTGCTATATGTTGAAGGAATGTGATATTTGTCCTGTGGTGTTTCCTGTGGGTCAAGCCCCTGGGGTATTATTTCAGTGTTTACCTCTAGCTCTGTTTCTGTTTCCTATCCACTGGTAGATAAGTATGAAACCTTTAGGATTCAGCATTTCTCTTTGTGTGGGTATGATTGTGTCCTTTTATTTTTTTTTAAAAGATTTATTTATTTATTATGTTTACAATATTCTGCCTGCATGCCAGAAGAGGGCACCCATTAGAGACAGTTGTGAGCCATCATGTGGTTGCTGGAAATTGAACTCAGGACCTCAGGGAGAGCAGCCAGTGCTCTTAACCTCTGAGCCATCTCTCCAGCCCATGGCTCTGCTCTTTATCTGGGAGATACAGCATATCATTGGAGGCCAGCCTGGGCTATGTAGCCAAAAGAGCAAAGACAAAGCCACCCTCTCTCTACTCCTAACTAAAAGCAGCCCCTCCGACATTCCCTACCCTGGTTTCAGCCAGGCCATAGATTAAAAGGTAGAAGCTCTTTTTTTTTTTTTTTTTTTTAGGGGGGGGGATAAGAAGGAGGGAGAGTCATGTTGCTGGGCAGAGTGTGCTAGTAGCTGAGCTGGGGACCTGGTTTCCAGTGGGGTCTGATCAGCTGACCTATCCATTCGGTTTTTGTTTTCCAGAACCTGGTGTGCATGTATGGAGATATGCTGAGCAATGTGGGTGCCGCTGAAAAGGTTTTCTGCTACATAGACAGAAAGCCAAATCTGCCCCAGCCTGGGACTCTGGCCCCTTCCAGGCTGGAGGGCCGCGTAGAATTCAAAGACGTCTCCTTTTCATACCCAAGTCGCCCGGAGAAGCCTGTACTCAAGGTACCCGCGCGGGAGACCCCATGGTCAGGGACTGCAGCCTGTGCATCATCTTCTCTAGGAAGCTGCCCTTATCTCTTCCCTGCTTTTCTAGGGCCTGACGTTCACGTTGCATCCTGGAAAGATGACAGCGCTGGTAGGACCCAATGGGTCAGGGAAGAGCACCGTCGCTGCTCTGCTGCAGAATCTGTACCAGCCCACCGGGGGCCAGCTGCTGCTGGATGGGCAGCCCCTGGTCCAGTATGATCACCACTACCTGCACCGCCAGGTGGGAGGGGCTCCCAAGAGGGAGGGGCAGGAGAGAGGCGCAAATCTGGAGAAAAGATGAGGCAGCCCCTGGGAAGAAAGGCTGGGGTCCATCCTGAGGAAGGCAGTGGAGGGACAGGAAGGGAGGCACTAGTTCTCTGCACGCATCCCCTCTGCACAGGTGGTTCTGGTGGGACAGGAGCCTGTGCTCTTCTCCGGGTCTGTCAAGGACAACATTGCCTACGGCCTGAGGGACTGTGAGGATGCCCAAGTGCTGGCAGCTGCCCGGGAAGCCTGTGCGGACGACTTCATAGGGGAAATGACTAATGGGATACACACAGGTATCTACTGGATAAACTGCTTGTGTTGCAAGCATGGGGACCCGAGGTTGATCTCTGAAATACATTTTATGGGGAAAAAAAAAAAAAAAAAACAGGCTGTGAGTAGTCTCAGTTTTGGGGATGCAGAGTCAGGAGGAGGCTCCTTAGGGTCTCATTCCAAGCCAGTGAGAGACTTTGTTCCATAAACAGACAGATACTGCCTGAAGAGCAGTCCACATACATACACCACCCCCAGCACACACACAATCTCATGTGTAAATACACATGCATGGGCGTGCACACACACACACACACAGAGGCACACTGGCTCACATACACACACACAGCCTCACATTCACACACACACACAGAGGCACACTGACTCACATATAACACACACACAGCCTCACATGCACGCACACACACACACAGGCACAGGCACACAGCCTCACACGCGCGCACACACACACACACACACACACACACACACACACAGGCTCACATGCATGCACACAGGAATTTACTTTGGGGTGATGTTTTTATCCTGTTGACCCTCCCTCCTTGCCAGTTCCCCTCTTGCCAGGCTTTGCTACCTCCTGATTGGCTAACAGAAGCTGACAGGGGTGGAGGGATAGGGGAGTCAGGGGTATGGGAGGTAAGGTGGGGTGAACTTGTCCTTCCCAGCTGGGAGGAACGTTTTCTAATCTGTTGTGCCTCAAGAGGAACTTTCTCTGGTTTCCTCAGAGATAGGGGAGAAAGGGGACCAGTTAGCTGTGGGACAGAAACAACGTCTGGCAATTGCCCGGGCCCTTGTGCGGAACCCACGGGTCCTCATCCTGGATGAGGCTACCAGTGCCCTGGACACCCAGTGTGAGCAGGCTGTGAGTACCAGTATGGGAAGGGCAGGGGACAGTGCAATTAAGGGATATGTTGAAGGGTCAGGTGGTGTGGAACTGGGCAGGGGTGGGCAGATGTCTCTCTGGTAAGGAGAGTGTCTGTACCTTGCAGAGCTGTGAATCACATGAATTGCAATGATTACTTTTTTGTTGCTAGACCAAAAACCCAAGAAAAAGAATTTAGAAGACAGGCCATTTTGGCTCGTGGGTTGAGAGAGCACACAAGCCATCACAGTGGCAGCATGGCTGTGGGAGTGTGTGGTTTGGACTCTTCACATCTTGGTGGATTGAGAAGCAGAGAGCGAAGGCTGGCAACCCAGCTGGTTCCCTCTTTCTCTCCTTTTCATGTGGTCCAGGACCCAGGGCATGGGATGGTGCCACCCATGTTCAGGGTGAATCTTTTTCCTCTCTGGATTCTTGCATCAGTCCTCACAGACACACCCGAAGATGTGCCTTGCCCATGCCCTGGGCTTTCTTAAGTTGAGTTGGCAATGAAAAGTAACTATCCTCAGGATGGAAAGGAGAGTGGTGTGGGGTGTCTGGTCCTCCATAGCTGCCTTTCCCAGTGGCAGCAATACAGCCAGGAAGGGCAGGCGATAGGAGTCAGCCCCTGCACAGCCACAGGGGATGCCCCAGCTATGGTGTCCCATTCTTGCTTTATCTGAGGCTTGTGACTGTCCTCTGCAGCTGCAGGCCTGGAGATCGAAGGGGGACAGGACGGTGCTGGTGATTGCCCACAGGCTGCACACAGTTCGGAACGCCGACCAGGTGCTGGTGCTCAAACAGGGGCAGTTGGTGGAGCATGACCGGCTCAGGGAGGATCAGGATGTCTATGCTCACCTGGTACAGCAGCAGCTGGAAGGGTGAGGTCTCCGGACACAGACCCACTGAGTGCTTCTCAGAACCGAGGCCAGAATCAAACCCACGGGACTGTGCTGGAGGCTGAAAAGTCAGGATAAAGACTGGGACCATTTTGGGCTTTTTATGTTTTGGTGACCTTGAGTGGGTGAGAGTTGGGGGATGGGGTGGTCATGGGTGGAGTGAGTGTTTTGAGGTTCTAGAAACAGTATTTTCTGCCTATTATAAAAATTATGTATAAAATGTTTTTCCTTAATATATGCTATGGTTAACATTGATTGACATTATCATAGCACCTAGAATCACAGACAAATATCTGGGCATGTCTGTGGGAGAGTTCTAGATGAGGTTAACTGAGGTTGGAATAACCGCCCTAACTGTAGGTGGCGCCATCCCCTGGGCTGGGGGCCCGGATTGCATAGAAGGGGAAAGTGAGCTGAACACCAGCATTATCTCTCTGCTTCCTGTGGATGCCATGTGATTAGCTGCCTCTCACTCTTGCCTTCCCTGGCATGGCGGACTGTCCCCTATGTGAGCCAAATTAAACCATCCCTCAAGCTGCTTTTGTCAAGCGTTTTGTTGCACCAACAGGAAAGTAACTCATACAATGTGTACATAAGAATAAGTACACATTCATATAGATGTCTTTCATATAGACATCTCACAAAGTGTAGTCCTGCCATTTACTTCACCAACACCACACGAATATTCATAAGGCTGCCTTCCTGTAACCTTCCTTATTCTCACCAGTATCTCACACACACACACACACACACACACACACACACACATACATGATGGGAGATGTATAATGTGGTTTGAGCAAGCCAGACACCCTGAAACAATGTCCCTGGTGATCCAACATTCAAAATAGTTTGAACAAGCCAAACTTGCAGATTACAGTCAGGATTTCTACATCTTCTTAGGATCCCCCATGACAGTGCCCTTTACCAGCAAAAAGTAGTTTGGAAGCAACAACGCCCAAATTCCCAAATATTGTTTATAAATGTTTGTTTTCATTTAAATGGGGTTATGGGGTTGGTTATAAATGGTTAATAAACACAATCATTCTCTTTTTAAAGGTAAAAAGTAAATTATGGTATAGATATGAATACTTTGTTTTGGAATTAATTTCATTTATTGATATAATTTAAGGTCAATTTTGTGATATGTATATTTCTCCTTTTGTTTAGGTATTGTATTTATATACCTCATTTAGAAATGTATAATGTTGTACAGATTATAATTACCTATGATAGTCAAAGCTTAGAGTTAAGTTACTTAGGTTTTTCAAGATACACAGAGATGTCTTTGAGATAGATAGGAATTCTTCAAACCCCTTCAAAGACCTGCAGAATATGGCATTTAATGTGGTTTAGGGTTTTTCTTGACAATGAGGCACAAATGCTCCTGGCAACACCACCTGCGTCAAAAAGGAAGATGGACATTGAAGAAACTCATTATGGAGTTTACTTCCAATATGGTAAGACTAGCCTTTTGGACAAGATACTGCTCTTGTCTGGACTGTTTGACTTTATGCTGTGTAAACTGGACATGCAGGACCCACAGAAAAGTGACTACTGATTCAAGATGGACATTGCTACAGAGTTCCCGCTTCATGGAAGAGTCTGCCAGACAGTCTACAGGACACAGAGAAAAATGACTGAAAAATTGCCAGTACAAAAAGACAGTTTAAAGTTTCCTGCTTTGCTAAAGAGTCTGCCAGACACACTATGGCCTATGGGCTGAAGATGAAAGATTACAGAAAAACTTCAGGTGACTGACAAGGCAAGATGTCTCTGTCATTTCTAGAGTTTATGTATTATCCTTCTGTGGTCTTTGAGGGAATTAAAGACAAATAGTTATGGTTATAGTTTTCCTTAGAATTAAAGGTAAGTTACATATAGGACTTCAGACTCACAAAGATAGGATAGATGATGAAATATTTTCTTTAAATCTTTTAAATGTTAATGAACTAAATATTGTTAACTATGATTCTTACTTGATAACTGTTATGTTATATGTTTTGCTATGCTAAGGTTAAAACCCTTCTTTTTATTTAGACAGAAAAGAGGAGATGATGGGAGATGTCATTCTGTAAATATGTTTCTCATACTGGTTAATGAATAAAGCACTGTTGACTAATAGGAAAAGGAAGGTAGGAGGGATTAGGAGACAAGGAGGAAAGAGGAAGTAGGAAGGAGTCAAGATGGAGAGACTGGGGAGACGAGACGCCTGCCCCATTCCCCGGTAAGATTAGAGCACGTGGAAGTACTTATATTTAACAAAAATGGGTTAATACTTAAGGTAGAGCTAGCTGATAAGAAACTAGTACCTGGCCAACAGCATTATATCAAATACAGAGTCTCAGTGTGTTAATTGGGGCAGGCGTGGCAGCGGGACAAGACCAGCGGTGGTGGGAGGAAAAACTTTACTCACACACACACACACACACACACACACACACACACACACACCCTTTTTAATAGGGTTTCCCTATGTAGCCCTGGCTGTCCTGAACATCACTGTGTAGACCAGGCTGGCCTCAAACTCACAGAGATCCACCTGCCTCTGCCTCTTGAATGCTGGGATTAAAGGCACGTGCCACCATGCCTGGACCTGTACCTGATATTTTTTGGGGAAACTACAGGATGGTTGTGCAAGAACCCAACACAGTTCTTGAGTTAACAGTGTTAATAACATTTCTAAGAGCTGCATTTGTAGAGTATGAGTGGGAGCAGGGACTATGCAACATGGTTCCCTTGTAGCAGGTCTTTCTTTGGACTGCTGGCTCCTGAATAATGACATGGAGACTTTTTATTAATTATGAAAGCTTGGCCTTAGCTTAGGCTTGTTCCCAAGTAGGTCTTAAAACTTAAATTAACCTGTTTATATTTACTTATGTTTTGCCATGTGACTTACTTCCTCTCCTCAGTACCGTGCGTCCGACTTCTCCACATCTGGCTGATGAATCTTCCACCTCAGATTCTTTCCCAGAGTTCCTATCTCTGCCCAGAAGTCCCACCTATTCTCTCCTGCTTAGCTATAGGCTGTTTGGCTCTTTATTAAACCAATCAGAAGGTGCCTTAGGCAGGTGAGGAAGGACAGAGACATCTTCACATAGTGAAGATGTGTGTATTTACCATATCCACTTTCTCATCCTTTCCATCTTAATGAGTGGGGAAGCTGAGGCTCGAAGAGGACTTGCTCAAGGTGCTTAGCTTCATTTTGTCTGACCAAAGAGAAAAGGTTTATTGGCTTCCAATTGCAGGCCACAGTCTGCCAGTGAGGGAAGACAAGCATTGTGATGACAGGCAGGCTTTCACATAGCACTACCTCTGTCCAAGGAACTCACCTTGAAGCCAGAGAAGGGCAGTGGGAACCAGAGCGCCCACTGTGTGATGGTGCCAGGCAGGCTCGTTCTCAGCCAGCTTTTTCACATGGTCCAGGACAACCTGCCCAGGGAGTGGTGTTATCATCAGTGGACTGGGCCCTCCAACATTGGCGATCAAGGGTATCCCAACAGACAACTTGGTCTAAATAATTCCTTACTGAGACTTTCTCCCTGGGTGTCTTAGCTACTTGCTGTGACCAAGCACCATAACCAGAAGCAACTTACAGGAGGGATTGTTCATCCTGCTTGTGGCTGAAGAGGGAGTCGGTGATGGTGGGGTGGTTCAGTAGCTGGTATCAGAGCAGCAAACCCGAGAGCTCACATTTCCATCCACAAAGGAAGTAGAGGGCAAACTGGGGGTAGGGCAAGACTGAACTCCTGACTTCCGCCCTCAGTGACACATTTCCTCCAGCAAGGCCGTATCACTTCCCCCCAAGCATCATCAACTGGGACCAAATATTCAAACATTGGGTCTATGGGTGACATATCTCATTTTAAGCGCCATGTTCAATGTGACAAGTTGGCATTAAAAATAGTTTCTTTTAGTGCTTGCTTCGGCAGCACATATACTGAAAATAGTTTATTTTAGATTTACTTATTTTCTATGTATGACTTTTTACCTGCCTGTTTTTATGTGTATCACATGCGTGCCTGGTGCCTGTGGAGTTCAGAAAAGGGCATTGGATACCCTCATTTGGAATTAAAGGTGACTGTGAGCCAGCATGTGGGTGCTGGGTGGGAATCCTACTCAGGTGCCCTGCAAGAGTGTTTTAAACAAGCCCCCCTTTCCAGCCTGCAAGTGGTCATTTAAAACCAACCACTGCACAGGGTCACACTTGTTGGAGCTGGTGTTGTATATACCTGGAATCTGAATTCTGAATACAGTTATATTATATCTCCTGTCCAGAATCTCCAACCCAAGTCAGACCAAGTACAGCCATTGGCTCTTTGGAGGATCCAAATCTAGTGTATTCTTTCCCCAAAAGATAGCTGCCATTCACAGCCTTACTTAGATCATTCCATCTCCAGAGAGGTTTCTGTTGAGTTTCCCTCTCCCAGCTGTTCAGGAAGGCAGGTTTTCTTTCTAGAGGGCCCTTGGAGGATGCCACTTATCTATGACCTGCATCTAGGCCTGGAGCCTTTGCCCAGCACACAGGGGCCCCAACCCCCCTTTCTTGATCCTGTCAGGCCAGGCCACAGCAGGTTCCCTGACTGCCCTCCCAGCTTCACTCAAGCCCTTCTGGAAGTTAACTGGGGGGTTTTCAGGAAAAGACTCCCTGATGCTCAGTTGGGAGATTTCCTTTCCAGGAGGCCAGTTCTTACCTCCTTTAAGATCCCCACCCACTTGTCCCCCTGGCCAGGAGCTCCCAGGGAAAGCCACATATCTCATTAAGCTGTGTGTCTTTGACCCTGGCTCAGAGCCCAGGTTCACAGACCATGAATAGTGAGTCTGTTGGAGAAATGAATTCCTGCCACAGATCCGCAGCTGAGAATTAGAAGTAGTCTCACTCACCAGTGGCGGGAGTGCTGGGAGTGCTGGGATCCCCACACTCCTATTCTAGGAAACAGAAACTAAGACGTTCCTGGAAACAGCAGGTACTTTCCAGTGCTAGCTAGAGCCTGCCAGGACAGCTGTTCACTGTCTCCCCGCCTGGCAGCATACAGGCAGTGTGCGTAATAGTGGAATGAGAATGTACAACAGCCTGAGACCCACCCACCTCCCAGGCAGGGTGAGAGAAGCATTCAGGAGGGAGAAGCCTTGCCCAGAGTGTCCTCCCCTCTCCCACAAATATCTCTTTTAAAAGGTGAAAAGGACTCTTTCATTTAGTGACCTTAGGGAAGCTGAAGCCCTTGTGGAATAT